CTATTATTTTGAAGGATTATATTATTGAAAGGAATTTTGATATACTTGTGATCACTGAGATCTGGCCTCCTGGAGATACTGATCGAATTACAATAGGCAATTTGATTCCAAATGGTTATTGTTTTTGTCATGCTCCTAGAGAAAGTAGGAGTGGAAGTGTTGGCGTTAAGTTAAAGCGGACGCTGATGGTTGTTTCTACTGAATATTTTACAAATTACAGATACAGAGAAAAAATAAATTAGTTAAAACCCACAAAATGTTTCTCATAACATTAATAAATAACTGAATGAAATAATTAATTAAAAATTAGCGGACATGAAAGCTAGTTACAGTTCCTCGTCAAATAAATCAAAATAAAATTTCCGAAATAAGAATGTTTTAAGGGCAGATTTAAAAGATGAAAGAGATGTTGTATTTTTAACAGAATCCGGTAGACTGTTATTTAATATGGGTGTGGAGAAAGAAAAGGCACGTTCACCGTATGTCACAGAGTTCACAGTAGGGACAGTGAAAAGTAGTTTAGAGGATGAGCATAGGCTTCGTAGCGGGTGGTATTGTTGTAGGAGGGACGAAAAGTAGGCTGGACAAAGTCCATGAATAATCTTGAAAGTGATGAGCAGAACTTTGAATATATTCCGAGACTCAGCAGGTATCCAGTGTTGTTCTCGAAGGACAGGTTTGATATGCTCGTATCGTTTAGTTCCAGTGATGAGACGTGCTGCAGTGTTTTTAATTGTTTGAAGTTTATCCGGGTCCTGTTTTGGGAGACCATAAAGGAAACTATTATAGTAGTCCAGACGTGGTATTACTAGCGCATTAACTAACAGTTTGAGATTTTTCCTTCGTGATGTATTTGCGAATGCGACCTATGGACCTGATGGTGTTAGTTGCTTTCTTACACGTCTCGTTTATGTGATATGTCAGTGATAGATTAACACTAAGACCACAAACACTAAGATCACAAACTCTCTCGGGGTATCTGCTACGACTAACCCCTTTCCTGGGATGTGACAGATGGTGAAAGAATACTTCATCAGTTTCATCCTAATACTCTGTATTCTGGGGAATAGTTCATCCAAACTCTTGGAGGCAAATAGTGGAACCAATGGCTTATGGTCTGTTTCAACGAGGATTTATTTTCTAAGGATGTAATCGTTTAACTTTTCAAACGCTCAGGTAGTAGCGAGTGCCTCTTTTTCGATTTGTGCGTACCGCTGTTCCGTACTAGCCATGGATCTTGATGCAAACGCTATTGGTTTCTTGATTCCATTCTCTTCTTGTAGTAAGACTGCGCCGAGTCCGTAAGATGAAGCATCGGTAGACAGTATTGTCTTTTTGGTAGGGTCGTAATATGCGACAACTGAGGTTGAAGTTGGTTCCTGTTTCGACTTCTCATAGGCACTCTGCTGTGTGAGTACCCATGGAAATTCATTCTTCGAGCAAAGAAGATCTCTTACTTCTCTGCCAGATGAGGAATAAATTTTCCCAGCTGGTCTACCATACCGTGGAGTCTGCGCACGTCACTCACATTTTGGGAAGGATCTATGTTGCGATAGAATCTGTCTTCTCCAGATCGGACATAATTCCATCTTAGTCAAGAACATATACCCAGCAAACTTGACTTCTCTTCTTGAAAATGCGCATTTTTCAGCATTGAGAGTTGCTCCAGCACTCTCAAGTTTCTTAAGTACATCTTTGAGTCTTCTGTCATGCTCAGCTTGCGTTTTACCATGTATAAACACATCGTCAATGGAAGATATTTGTCCCTCTATGCCTTCTAGTATTTGGTTCATCTTCTTCTGGTAGTGTTCCTGGGTGGAATTGTGATGTTGAGTCACCGAATGCAGTTCACCAAGCTAATCTTCTTTTCCTTCCCCATGATAGACTCCTGAGGGGAAGGAAGGTCTATAAGTATACGTTGACAGTTGTCGATATCGCAGTAGATTCAAAGCGAAATATTCTTCTCAAGTTTCAAAGGCTTTTCAGACAATTTATAGGCGAGGCCCTCTTAAAAGACCGAAGGTTCTTCAGTTTGATCCTGGACATAAATTCATGGGTGATGTCACTAAAGAGATGGAAAAGCATGGCCTTAGAATAAGAAGAGGAAATGTCAACGTTCGCAGAGAACAAGCAATAGTTGAGGGATTCAATCGAACATTGGGTGAACGCCTTTTTAATTACCAATACATTAAGGAGATGAACTTGGCATCTTGAAAGTCTTGTCGACGGTTCTGAAATTCTTAGTTTTACAAATTTTCAATTTCTTCTCTTTTGAGTTTGTGAATAATATGAAGTACAACTTCTTTGCTAAGACTTTTAAGAGTGAGACGGTCCATTTTGACTGTAAATATATGAAATTCATATATGTAAACTGCGGTTGAAGAAACGAATATGTAAGGGATCCTCGCAGTTATTAACACTGCTTATAATATGTAGTAGTGAAAATAAGGCGTAAAAAAATTCAGGCCTGTACGGGATTTGAACCCATGACTTCTGCAATACCGGTGCACCGATACCGCCATGAATTGTCTAAAGAATTAATTCATTTTATGAATTATCTGGTACATTTCAATAACAGCGATTGGCTAGAAAGGAATTTCGCCTTTTTCAAGATTAATCAGCTTCAACACACGCGCAGATAACAATCAAACAAAAGACAAAGAAAGGTAACTATTACAGTTTACGCACTATTTACAGTTACGAACAAATATCGGAAATCAAACTCTTACCGTGCGATTTTGTCTTATCTGTTGCTCGGAGGTGAATAGTACTTGTTATTCACTTCCGAATTAACCAGTCAGCGCGTGCACGAAATACCATTCACCCATGGTGAATACAATAATTTTCAATAGTGTTAGCAAGGGGTTTTAACGTCGCACTGAAAGCAATAGCGGTGTATCGATTACGGGAAGAGGTCATCTGTTTTTTCCCTATCGCGAGTCAAAATATAGCGTGTATGCGTTCTAGTACTGTAAAAATGTCGTGAACGGTTCTATTACTGATTAACGTTTTAGCGGACAAAAAGTTCTCTGAATATTATCAAACATTCTGTGTGCCTTAAACTGTGTCAAGTATAATAACTGGACTTTTTGCGATGGCTTCATATGTAGATATTTCAAATACTTGGAAGTTTTAATACATAGATATATGTCTAACAGAGAGTTAACTGTACATCTGATTGTCACCAAGTTCCGGTAACAGCTATTTTGTAGTTATAATAGTAGCAGTCAGCTGGACAAAGTTCAGGCCTGTCACTTTCAGCGAAAATAGAATGGAGAGTTTCATGTCTGTCGTTTTTTGCCGTTTCAATCGTTCGATCAATCGCCAAATGCGATCGATCGAAATCGTTAAAAGAAAAACGTATCCATGTGGCAAAGGAAAGAAAATAAGTGCAGAGGATGACTTCGATTTGCAGCGATTTAAACTGAATAAAAAGACTTTGGCGATCGCCAACAAGTCAAGAGCCAAACAATCAAATGAGGGAACGCCGAGTCCTTTACCTTACGTTCAGGTTATAAGGCAAACATTAAAGTTTCTCAAAAACCTTTTCAGACTTTAGGGCATATTTTTGCCAAACCTAAGGATCCTGTCACGAAAGAACAACGAACCGACGCTATTTATTCCATTCTGCAATGATTGTGATCACAAGTACATCGTACAGACCAAACGTCAGTTTGGTACAAGTTTAAAAGAGCATCATTTGCGAAAAGAAAATTCAGCTTAGTCGGAGCACACATGCTTAACCAACCATACAATTAGGTGGGATAAGTCTAAAATTATCACCACTAATCGACGTTACCACCAGCGCCTTTGTTTGATACTTTCACTAACACTAAAACTCACTGGCGTAAAAACGAAAATGAGTTTTGAACTGCATAAGAAAATAAAAGTAGTGATCACTTGCGACTTATTAATTTTTAATGAGTTAAGTCTCGTTTGGTAATACAGAAAACACAACAATCACCAAAATGACTTCGGAATTAAAAAACCCTTGCCATACCAATTACTTCGCTAAATCAAACACAGAAAATGATAAAAATACTCAACATTACTCAGCTAGGGTGATTCGTGTGAATTGATTTCTTTACATGTACTAATTTGTGATAAAATATTTGATATTCTTTAAAACTTGCTTCCACACTCCATCTTAAATTCTCAGTTACTTGCTTTTTTGGTGGAATTCGGGTGTCTTGAATTCCAAAACATGCATTACTTGGGAATGCAAGATTTGAAATTCTTAAGCCCTTCCTTTCAAAATATAGAAAAAAATGCTCACCTACTAACAGTTTATTTGAAAAATCCACGTCTTTGTCATTGCAGCTACTAACGGAACATTTTTTCCACGATAGTCAAAAAAAGAAAAAAGAAAGGTAGTGAGTACAGTACTTTGAACATTCCTCTTTTCATCTTTAGGGGTACACCACCCTGTACACAGAGTTGTATTTTCATTTGTCATGGCTTATTAGTGACCCGTTCATCCACTTAGCTATCATTACCCCTAATGTTGCTTTTACTGTCACTTTCAAAGATATCAAATGATCTCCGTCAATTAACTGTCCACTGAACCTAATGATGACATGAGGAGGAAAGAAGGTCCGTACTTTTTACTTCTGAAAAAACACTAAACTCTACTCGTTTCCCATAACTCCTCCCTCAACGTAGACAACGAATGGTTCCAAAACTTTTTATGAAAAATCCCTTCAACAACCTGTGAAGAGATTTTATATAGTGAAAGGCACTAAAAATTAACTGACTGGAACACCGCTTTTACCCAGTATGTCAAGAGAAACCTGTTATGTCGTCAACCCGCATCTTCGCGTTCGTCACATTTGAAATGTTATCATGTTAGCTTCTAAGTTTGGGTTTTCTTTGTGTACACCTGCCAAAGCCTCTACTACTACCAATCCGTGTTTAACAGGTGCGTCTTTCAAATGGTGTGATATTTGCATATCTGCCCCTTCGTAGCAGTAATGAATCAATTGTCAAAGCAGTTTAAGCTGCACCATGGTTACCGGCTTGATTGGGATATTGTAGCGAGCCGCGAAGAGTCGATCGTTTCATATGCAAAGTTAAGGAAGCTGAAAGTTTCTGCGATGAAGTGCACCAGAGGGTAAGGGTTCTGCTTTATTTGTTTGCATTTGTGAATGTGAATGTGAGTGACAGATGCTCCCGAAAGAATTTGCGCGTCTATTTAATCCGAGGCAAAACACACACTAGTGAAACCGAGCCAATTCGATCGTTCCTTTGTTTTAGAACGTGACTAAGTTACGACGAGGTCTTCATGGCTAGTTTCTCAGATTTGTAAACTATAAAGGGAAAAGAAATTGTGGTATGGAACACTGTATCATTTACATATAGTGTTCGCCAGCTTGTCTTTGGCTGCTTTCGTAAGTTTAAGTTACGACTTAACACAACATACAATTTTCAGACACTGGGAAACTTTTTGAAATTTCCAATAGTCTCTGATCTATCCATGAGTAGTCAGTCCGAATAACTTATATGTTTTTTTTTTTTTTTAATGTACGCATTTGATCAGATCAAAGCTAGCTTTAACGGAACAAAATATGGATTGACAGGATTTTCCGCTGGAATTCTTACAAAGTCGAAAATTAGGCAGATTAACTTAAGCTTCAGAGTTTTGTTTAGGGGTAATTGTTGTAGTACGACTTCAACACATAGAAACGACTAGCTTCTTTCGCACATCAATAATCATTATAAATTAACTTGCAAATGAAGGTCTGTAATTTCTGGTTGATGAAAATGAATTTTTTCGAATAATGAATGCTCTGTGCCCTCATAAGAAAAAAATTGAAGAGGACCGAGAGAGGGAAAGTACACCAATCCTAATTTAAAGGCTAACCAGATTTAGTCTGTAAAAGCAAATTTACACTCCCAAAAAAAGTCGAAAGCGTTTTTCGAAATTTAAAGAAGGTTTGTGAATGTTTAATTGATGTCGTTGATGATATTGACGTTTAAACTGGTGGTAGTACTCCATGGCAAGAAAACCAGAGAAATCAACATATACAACATGTTGTGTCCTGGAGAAGTTGTATATGAAGCTTAAAGCTCTAACATGATTTCGTGCTTTCAGAACCTCTCTATTTGTGGGCAGGGATCGCAAATTCGTTTCGTTGCGTTGTTTGCGTGTGACTTCAAATGACCACAGTTAAGGAGCTTCGATCTTTTGTATCGTGCTCTGAATTATCAATGGTTAATCTGACCGAAGGAAGGCGATGGCTTTCTCTTAATTTCCATAGATGGGAATTTATCATTAAAATAAAATGCAAACCTTTGTAAGTGATGTTGGAGAAAGAACAAGTTATAAAAATAGGTAAAACAAACAAACAAACAAAAAAAACCAGATGAAATGCCGTCTTTTTTAAATGTAGGTACTTGTGACCTTGACATGGGACTGGAACTAAGTTTCCTCAGTGGTGTTGCAGACCTTAGACCTAAATTAAAAATTAGTAGTTCCTAGGCATTCTCACGAGTGACACTGCGTGGTATAGATGAAGTTCGAGCTGCGCGCATTAGATGTAAATTTCGTTTAATCTGGAGTTATTGTATCTTTGCCGTCCAAAATAAATCAATATTCCTTTACATTCCATTCGACTCTTACCTCGGATAACTCAGCAAGTATGGTACTTCTATATAATCCCCAAGGAAATTTTCAATTTCAGTTTCTATTCATTTCTAGTGACTGAACTTTTTCATAGAGTGTCATTTCCCAAAACATGTCACTTTATTTTACTCTGGACAAAGCAAACAGTCTAATAAACACTGTGTGGCTTCCAATTTGCATTAGTCATTTATCCGCTTCCACTTAAGAGATGAATATCTACGAAGCAGATGTTCATGAGCAAATGCAAGTTCAAACTCTAAAAAAATGCTATCCAAATAAAATGATTTAGTTTTCCATAGACCCCATTTAAAATTTCGGCTGTTTAGCTCGTTATCTAAGAAATGATTCCCCGACAAAATCGTTCGAAATTTTTTTCATGTTACACTTTGACAGGCAAACAAAGGCGGCAGAATGTTGACGTTGCAACCTCAAAATTCTAACATCCATCCATCCATAAAATGAGGCACTATGGCTTTAATCTCAGTTCTACATAGTGTGATTCGAATGACTACAATGGATTTCTGATCGCAGCTTTGATTATTATGGGTTTACTCGTTTTGATTACTTAAAACATTGTCTGCTCCATAGAGAAGTCTGGTAAATGAAACTTTCAGTTGGTCTTTGACAAATTATTCTTCTCCGAAATATTTTACTCTTCTATTGATCTTCTACTTTACGTTTTAGATCGACAGGTGACTTCAAATGGTGAAGGTCGATGTTTAAGAAGATTTTGCTCTATTAGGTCACGCAGCCACAAGGAAAATAAAGCCCTTGAAATGACAACTGTGAAAACTTTTTCTCTTACGAGCCAAAACTTACAAAAGTTTGAGAGAGAGCTCAAAAACGGAAAGAGGAAAAGGAAGTCCTTACAAAGAAATGTGAATCCAGAGAGAACTGAGGCAGATGGAAGAAGCTCTGGGATTCAGTCGTGCGGCTCACAATCGAGTGCCTTTAAGGAAAGTCTCAGTGACCACTTCAAGGACATGGATACCGAAAAAGTAACAAAACCTAGAAATAACTCTTATTCCTTAGATCGCCCTGAGCGAGAGGCTTTCCGAAGAAATCCTGAAGGGCAGAGCCGAAACGAGAGCTCTGCCGCTACACCGCACGTTTCGAAAATTAATTACGAGGAAGGAAGTGTACTAATCAACTACAGTAGTGACAGTGAAAAGGATAAAAATGAACTTAACTCGGCTGATGAGCGGGAGGAAGAAGAAGAAGAAGACAGTGATGATGATGACGATGAAGACGAAACTGAAGAAGAAAGTGATGAAAGCGACGATGAGAGTGATGAAAGTGATGCAGAAAGTGACGACGACGAAGAAACTCCAACACGAGAATTTGGAACTCCCACCACTATCCAAACACACTACACGAGCAGTTTAAATGCAAGCATCAGCAGCATTCCTACTATTGCTTCAGCAAGAAGCACTCCTGAGTCCATAATCACGATTAAAACGAAGAAAACGGTAAGAAAAGGAAGTGCACACTCCAATGTAAGTTCGGCGCCATCTTACGTTTTAAATAGCAATCAATATCGCATGAAGAAAATGGCAGCAAAGAAAGAGAAAGAGCGTGGCCAGAATCACGAGGACTATGAAAATGAGTCAGAGTTATCTTTCGGACCCGAACAGCGATCACCGTCGGCTGCGACTAGAATGCGTGACAAAGGTACTACAAGCGTGCATAGCAACGGATCTTACGTGACCACAAGAAACTGGTCACGATGGAGTCATTACAGTGCAGCGGGGTACAGCATAAGTGAAGCACCTGAGGCCATTCGTAGGCATGACAAATATTCGACAGTAAAAACCACAACCACAGGAAAACGAGCAAAGAATTTCAGGCCTGAAACTTACTTCCGCCCTAAAACCCCTCATTTACCACTTATCGGTAAAAGCACTTCAAGTAATTCTGTTCCCGATATGCGAAGATATGGTAAGCGTCATGTGACTCTCACACTGGATCCTGATCTTTCACGAGCGCGATCTGTAAGTCGTAGCCAGATGGCGTCTCGAATGAGCACCCGATCAATTATGAAAAATCCAAAAATGGCCCGCGGTAAATCTGTCCCAGACCTCAACAAGGAAGTTATTATGTCATTTTTTGATATGGAAAGAGGAAAAAATAAATCAGCGGCCCGCCCCGTGAACAACAAAAAAGGCGGAAGGAAAGAAACTTTTAAAAAGTCAGGAACGAGTATTATTGATGATATCGATGTTACAACTCGGCGAAAACGACTTCGTAAGCGGAAGGAACTCCCCCAAAAAACGAGGATTAAAAGCTCTCTCAGTTCGGCCTCAAGTGACTTTCGGAATGCACGAAAACGGAAAAATTCTTTAACAAACATAGGGTCTTCTTTGTCGAGTGCATTGTCCATGTCATCCATGAAATCAAGCAGAGCAAGGCAGAATAGTAGACCTTCCACTGATACAATTAGCAAGGCGAGCTCTTCTATAAAACAAAACAGGCTACAGCCACTCAGGAAATACGCTAGTTATCAGAGCGGCAGTGACCAAATGTCCACGCGTGCGTCCATACCAGCGTGTGATACACCTATCAGCTTAATCCTTAAGCGCACTCCGAGCCTGCGGTCTGTTATGACAGAGTACAGTAGCTATCTAAGCTTAGCAGCCTCTAGCTTTAAGTCCGTGCGCTCCAGCTCCAGATCAAGTCTCTCGAGCACTGGTAGGTATAACTTGCTGTTTTGATAATGACAGCTTATTCACATGTCTTAAGCCTGACTACTCCGACTTTGGATTTTATGCAAGCTAAAATGCATTCGTAACCTGTGCTATGGAGTGTATATGACATGACAGACATGACATTTTAACATAATGTCTTCTCGAAAAATAGTTTTACTAAAGTGCCTCTGTTTTCTCGATATTGCATATTTTTATGAGAAAATTGAAGAATGATTAGTTTCGGATTAAAAGTGTGACTCAGTGCAACGGGTGGGATGAAAATGAGATTTACTCCGGTAAACTGAGAAGCTGTTTTCTTTTAAAGATTCAATTTAGGTGGAAGAACAAAACCAACACTAAACGTTTGAACATGTGAAATAATTATAACTTAAATGGCATCTTTAAACCTTGAATTTCTTCTTATTTGGTTGATTGGGTTAAAAATCCTTGTTATTTTCAACCCAGACATCCAGGCGAAGAAAGCGTTTTTAATTACAGCTTATTAAAGAAATGTAAATTAAAGGCAAAGACATCTGCTACAAACGGTGCTTTGAAGTCATTTAAAGTACAGCTCCGAATTTACCAATGGGCGAGCGATAAGAAATATAGCTTATAAAATATTTACTGCCCTGGTTTAGTCAATCGCGCATATAGTGGTCTCTATGAACCCAACAGTTCAAAGAGTCTCGGCTTGTGTGAGTGTTAAGCTTACAATTCTTGAAACATTTTGATGAGGGGAGAATTCTTTTACAATGGATCTACAAATGAACGATTCGAAAGACGAGATTAAAGTCGAGGACGTCGAATCTTACAATGGTAAGTTGACGTCCGATTATTTTTGAAGTCATTAAACGACGCAGTTTCAAGTGATATAAATAATCAAGTACAGAATCCAGTTACGATTTTTATTTAGATGTGAAGATAAGTTGACAAAGAGCTCTTTACAGGTTTGCCATCGCTGATTTTTAGATAATTATACAGGACAAATTTTCACAGGCTTAGTAACTAAATAACAAAGTTGCAATATTTCTCTCCTTCGACAAGACAGAAACAAACTTGCTTTGTGACTCTGTCAGGTCAAAAAAAATCCAAACAAAACAAGTAAAGGAGATTTTTTAAGAATGCGTGCTTTCCAAAAATGTTACAACCTATGTTGGAAAGTAGAAAAGTAAGCGTGCACAGCACAGTTCATTGTCTGTCTTATTTTCTTCGTTCGATATTCGGCCAAAGTTAGAAACTTTAACTAACACATATTTGCGCCAATGCTGAGTTGAACAAATTTAGGGCACACTCAACATCATGATACTCGGTAACAGGTCACGTAATTTTTTATCATTTATCTGCAAGTGTGGGTTGATCCCGTCCCGTATACCTTATAAATATTTTGCGCTAGGCTCTACTAAAACCTCAAGATCTGGTTGCCATGGTGACGAGGAAGGCATATTCAGCGGTGGGGGGTTGCATGAAAAGCTTAAGCAGATGTCAAGCCACCCGCTGGTCTACATAAAAAGGAGGTGCTAAGTAAAAAGACTTAAGTGGGAACTGTGTTGAAAGTTGACGAGAGCAATTCAGTCTTCACATTAACTGTTGCTAAATCTTAAAATGTCATTTTATCATGCAAAATAGAACACTTTCGGCTTAAAATAAGCCGAAACACCTTAAAGGTGCTATTTGTGCAGTCCTATTCGGTGAAATACCTCCGGGTTTTTCTTCTTTCTTATCGTGAAAAGTAAGTAACAAATAATTTCCAGACATCACGTTACTGTAGACAATTTATTTACACGTTAGACGGATGTCTCGCGATGTGATACGGGGTTTCATGTAGTGCAAGTTAGACGGTCGAACAGATAACTACGATCGACTTCCTGCTCAAATTTTACTTTTTCTTTTACGAAGAAATTTCGAGTTAGGAAACTCTGAAGTTAGTAAAATGTACCTACGAAAATAAAGAATTTCAACAAGACATTAACGACTCCAGGTTACCACACATAGAACTCGCGAAAATTATAACTTAATAGTGATGTGAACTTCCTCCATCTTTGTGCCGGAAGTCAAAGTCGATTTTTTAAACTTAAATCAAAAGTTACTACCTCCGAAATCAAAACTTTCACATTAAACAGTTGCTGTGTTGATTCATAATTCAGATGGAGAGAGCACAGCTATAGGCCCAGAAGCCACAAGCCCTGAAAAGGAAGAAAAAGACGACTTGAATAACGAGAAGCAAAAGCAGATAGAACCTGAAAGGAAACCCTCATCTAAAGCCAGTGATCAACAATCTAAACGAAGCTCGTCAGTAAAGAAAGAAGCGCTAACTTTTTCGAACTCTGAACGGCTTCATTTACCAGCGGTTCGAACCCAGTCGGTTTCATCCGAAAGAACTGTAAGCGCTACACCAGTAAAAGGTTTGTCAAATGTTCGTGCAGGAGCTATGTATTCATTCATTTTACGTGCCCTGTTTGAATGTATCTCAAGGCCTCTCTTTCATTTTGTTTTGGTTTTCCCGCCTTCTGTTATTCTAACACCAGCAACGGTATCAACAAAAAAATTATACTGGTAACTAGTTATCTAATTTTGTTTGACTTTGTCAGAACGCGAAAAGGCAAAGAAAAAGGAACCCGTTAAATTACCCCAAAGTAAGTATCTTTTCTATGTTTATACCCACTTTTAGGAGAAAACGGATATCAATTATTCCCTTAACAGAGGGTCTTTTCATGAAACAAGTTCAGACAAATAAACTCTCATAAGTTGAAGCAAGGAAAGTCGAAGAAAGCCCAATTATTTGATCCAGTCATAATGTTCTGAAAGGGTACATCGAGTCCAATGATATAGAATGTCACATGCGATCAAAACAAAAGTAGGTAAATTTGCATGATCCGACGACAACCTGCGTTCATGATGCTCAGTTCGCCAAATTTATTACATTTCTCTCTTTCAATCTTGATTACTTCATTCGACATCAGCGAACCGGCTGTCTAGAAAAAATAAACCATCAGTCAGTTTCATTTCAATCCAAATATGATTTGTCCTACATTCTCGTGAGTATATTTACTAAGCATTCAGAAAATTTTTCTTCAGTTTCCAAACAAAGCCATGTTTACAGAATTGTTTGAATAGCAATTTCCAGGATCAATGTTTAATGACTGCTCTTTGTTTGTGTGTTTGGGTTTTGGAAAACACAAAGAAAAACTTCTAATGATATTGAAACCTCACTGGACTCGTAGTTGTCCAATCATATTCCAGAAAGCGCTGCACCATTGGATAGCGTTAATTAGCACCAAGTTGCGGCATTGTTTCCATAGGAACATAACCAGACGCTTTGTTGAATGTAATCATTAAAACCTTGAACATTAGACCGACTGTAACTGCATCGAATTCACACGAAAAGCGCGAGTATTTGAACCTCATCCACACTTGCTTTTCTAAGCTTTCATAAAGAAGAATACTTTGTGATCGTAATTACGCTGGGAAGTTTGAAGTAATCGCCGTTTCAATATGACAGAAGTGGCTTGTAAGTGCGAATGGTTGCCTTGTGCAGACACAACATTCATTGAATTGAAACAACTATAACATGTTTTCTTTTCATTTAGTTGTTCGAGTGAATCATTCACTTCCAAGTTTTACAGAAGCCACACGGGATACTGGCATGTAAGTTGTTTTTAACTCGTTGGAAGTTTGATACATTGCCAACCTTAGGCCTCTCTAAAAGTTTTTCGTCGTCTAATTTTTGGTTATGTTCATTTAAAATAGTACTCGCCTGGTGAAACTTGCAAAGCCGAAGGAATCAAAAGCGGTATGGATGACAAGTTTTTGGTAAGTAGTGCCAAACCATCACTGAAGCAAACACTGCACTAGACCGCCTCGGTAAAAATTGACTTGCGAGTCGCAAATTTCCACGTCGACAAATTAGATACCACCTAATATAAAGATTTGACTAACGCGGTTACAATAGGAAGACCTGTGGCACGTCTGTCGCAATATTAATTTGGCCAAAGCCCTAGCTTGGAAACCCAGGGAAGCTTTTACTTGCCTCGTTGACTTCTTCTTTGAAAGGCTTATTAAAAAAACGATTCATCGATCTCTTAGCAAACTTTTCGTCGAAAGGCAGTTCATCCTTGATAACTTAGCAAATTGGTTAGAATTACATAGGTATCATTTTTTGTTCCAGGCCGATCGTATGGGGAAATCAAGATATGATGTGGCCCATTTCCAGAGGAGCGCTTACAGCAAATGCATCGGGGAGATTAATGGCCTTAGCCACGCCGAAAAAAGATTTTCAACTCGACCATCCATCCAAGTGTAGCAGGTACAAAAACACGATTTTTAAAATAGAAAGGTGGGCTTTAAAGCTTTTCAAATTACTGAAGTGAACCGTGACATTCATACCTGCTGGAAATTCTGCACGCAATGTCAAAGTAAAAAATTGAAAATTATCTCAATCCTCTACAATATACGCGACTTAATCATCTTCAGATCTTCAGGGAGTGTCCGGTTATTTCCTTATAGAGCCTTTTCGCCAAAAATCATCACGCGATAACTCCTTTCGCTACTAGTCAAGTCGATTTCCCAAGTGTAAAACTAATTTCGAAACAAACATAAGCCGTTTTGCTCCAGGACTAAGTTTGTATCATTGCCATACTTAGTATAATTGTAGACAACTCCGCTTCGTGCTTCTTTTGACAGAAAAGGAATTTTCGCACTGAAAGGAGACTCTTTAAGTGATTCTTCCATAATTAAGTTTAGCGACAACTGTTCCAGGGAAAATTGTTCGCAAGGTTTTCTGTATCTTGGCTTAGGTGTCATGAGAATCTGTATGAGATTCGATATCGCTGGATTGTAAGTTGTTAGCACGAATCATTTGATCTTTGAATTCACTATCACTTCTTTAAACTTAGCGCGCCCCGACCGTACTTATTGTAGCACAACCTACGATGAAGAAATGATTTGAAAAACATTTAACTATAAAAAAATTGCGATAGAACATTTCTTAAAAGCATTTTAAGATTTCTAAAAAACGACGACGTTTCGACGTTGGCTAAACGTCATTACCAAGTTAAAAAAGATATATTTGCAAGTTGTAGTCTATATATACCAAAATAACAATGGATGATAAAAAGCTATTCCGTAAGAAAAGAACATTAGTAATTAAACAAAATGTTTGGCACGTATGGAGTCCGTCTGGATATTTAAATTAGGCTTGAGATTCTTGCTGAACAGCATTTCAAAGACTAAACAATCAAATTTTCCCTAGCACTTTCTTAACACTCTAAATTGGTTTTCTTTCAAGAGGTGGTTGCTACCTTGAGCTTCCACGAAATGTCGACCGATTGCCGAATATTTGTGCTAAGCAATGCGTTGATGAAGGCGTCGGGCTGTGCACCCGACATAATCTGCATCGCACAGATCACGTGAGAAACAGTAAACAACACATTGCCGATTAGCAATTGACGGCTTGATTTCTTTGGGTTTAAAGATCTTGCCCCAATTTCTTGCTCACAAAAACTGGCTGCAATGTAGGGAGAATCTTATGGCTAAGATCGCGCAACTGCTTCCGAACCGCATCAGCGGCCACTTGATCTTTGAATGGAAGACTAATTCTTGCTGTGCTATTATTATCGGTGTTTCTTTCCGCTGTGCCTGCCGTACCTAAAAATAAAATTGTTGATAGCGGAATCAATAAGGCCCACAGGGGTGGTCAAGACGACTGAAAATAGAGCGCAATTTGACGCATTCTGCATTAAAAGCCTCTGTGGTAGACGATAGGGCATAGGCTCGGTGTATCATTATCTTTAATAAATAGTCTTTAAAGCGTTTATTGGTGTGATTGTGGAATTGTAAGAGCAAACCAGTGTTTGCTGGTTTTCGTTAAACTTAAGTTTCAAGTTTAGTTACGTTCTTGACGATTTCAATGCCGATAAAAGAGATCTTATTACCAGCGGGAAGCTCCATCGTAAAAGTTAAGACTGGATTGCAGGCTATTCAGAGTAGCAAGAAACACAACAGCAGCAGCGGCGCTAGGCATTCTGGCCAGGGTATTGTCGACGTACCTCTTGTACAGATGGGGCATTAAGTCATCATGCGTAAGCTTTTCTTCAAGATGACACATGAAGACATTGGCCATTAGAGGGCCAAGAGGGCAGCCCATAGCCACACCATCTGTTTGTTCGTAAAGTTGACCGTTAAACTGAAAAAGTTGATTGGTTGTGGCAATCTTGTGTAGTTCAGCAAGCTGGTCCTTTTGCAGATAAAGGCCATAATTTTGTTGAACCAATCATCTGTGAAGGTTTTGTTGACCAAGATGTAGATAGTCTCATCTAAAGGCACAATGGTGAAGAGAGCTGTGACGTCGTAAGAGACCAATATGGTCTCCAACCTACAATAGGCTCGAAATGAAATAAACAAGAAATCCAAGGATTTTGCTAGAGGTGGAGTTACCACAACGGATACAATCAGGCCTAAACAAAACTTGCAAAACGGTACAGCCATGAAGAAAATGAGGAATGAGGAGGTGGCTGATATTTGTCATGAACCAAATCTTTTTAAACATACAAAATCATCTTTAACTGATCTTGTAACAGTCTTAATGAGAATTTTCCTTGGGAATATCGAGAAGAAACAGGCTGTCTGTTCTTTCTTTACTACTGTTGAAATTTCTAATTGGCTAAATTTGTGATGTGTCACCGTTCAAAGACGGCCATGTTTTCGGAAAACGATCTCTCATATGAACTTGTGACTGGATAAAAAATTTGTTTATTCTTGCATGCAGACATAACCTCGTTGATCATTCTCCTTTATTTGTTTATGGGTTAGGCATCTTAAATCATACATAAAATACAGTGTCAAAGCATTAACAATCCTTCCGAAGCACTTTCACTGTCGTAGGAGGTACCAAAATGAAGAAAGGCAGTACAAGTAACGCTCATTCAATAAAAGATCGAAGTTGAAAGTGAAACAGCCGCGTCTTTGGTGTCTGAAGTTGAAAATTAATTTTTTCTTAAGGACATGCGCCCTTAAAACCAAAGGATTGGAATTATTTGATCTCACGCCTTACTCGCAGCTCTCGGAGTCTTTCAATTAACTACGCGTCTACTCTGCCTATGCCAATTACAATTATATCCACTACGAACTAATAAATTTTTCTACAATTTTTTCGCTGCTATATTTTATCACTTCTTTTTCCTGTGTAGAAGTATACTCTAAACGCACCGAGCAATTTTCAATTTGCGATGGAAAAATGTAGCCGAAGGCAGGTTTGGTCCTAAATGCTGTGCGATTCTTCATTCGTAGTTAGAAGTAAAATAACAAACAACGGATGCGATAGTTTCCCTGGAAAATCTAGAGTGGCAAAGCCCCAACATCAATTCATTATCAAGAATCATTCGCCTTTTAGGCGTCATTTTAAGCCACTAACTGCATGACTAATAAACGAATTTGAGAACGTTCACTTTACTACGTTTACGCCTTTGCTTTTAGTTATAATGTTTATTGTTATAGTTTAAACTACTTATGGTGATGCAAACGCGTTCGTTAGTTTGTAAGATACTAGAGATGGTGTATGTTAGGTTAACTTACGTCACTCTCTTTCTTTTGCTGGAAATTGCAGGGGACAATACGTTTATAGCTGTGGCCGCAGTTCTGTCATTTGGGATATGCAACCCTCAGCTTTAAAAGCAAATATTTCCACAAGGGTCAGTCAGCTAGCAGAACCAAAGAAATCACCACCCCAACATGAAGAACAAAGGTAAGCACGCACTGTTTACCAGCACTGCGAGAATACGTCCAGCAATCGGGCAAACCTGCACTGAACTTGTGATATCTTTTGTTCAATATTTTATCTGATTTTTTCAACCTACGATTTTTTTTCGATATGATGTTGCCGATTCTTTACTTTTCAAATTTGACCAGAAGTAAATTGTTTTGCCCAAATTTGTCCAACTTAAGTTCTGCAGCTGTGGACTATGTTTAGGTATTCATTACTTTGTTGAGGTCGTGACGACCTTAACTACGTACTTCTTTGGTTGGCTTCACGGCAGTTTGAACTCATTTAGCCATCTTAAGTCAGGTGATAATTACATGACTACCCAAATATCTTTCAGTAAGGGCTTACACACATTTGAAATAGGACAAGCTCGTGAAGACTGGGAAATCCATGCTAAAATTCTACGCCTCAGTACAGGTCGCCTCGCGAGCAGTCTCTTGTTTGTGAAAACATCAAATTTGCTTTTCGCTTTTTCTTTGAGTTTGAAGATTTGCACATAAAAATAGCATTGTCATATGTTTAATTATTCGCATTGCGACAAGTTATTCAAAATTCATCGACTGTCAAGTTGCTAGGCATTGCATAACCCGGTTGCTCGGGCCCGATTGTTGATGGACCGCGCTTACCAGCTACCTCCACAACAACGAAAAAAACAGACACAAAGTTCAGAGGAGTATTTTCAGCATGATTTCAAACTATCTTTAAAGGTACAAGTTTTTGCTTCGAATTTGTCTGAACGCACGAATGCGTTCAGCAAATTCAAAGGCTTGCAAACTTTAGATGTATTTTAATTGAATACATACAATTCAATCAATGTTCATAGCAAGGCTCTTTACTCTTGGTTCAGATTTTTCTGAGATCGTGAAATATTTCAGTTGTTGCTAGGCGTCAAGATCTCCCTTTCTCTTTGCCATGTCAAGTCCAAACCATAACTCAATTAGGAGCAATGTAGTTTAAGAATCGATAAGGGTCTATTCAGAAGAGGGCTCACAGACTTGAACCAACAAACTAACAATCTTGAATACTTCAAGAAAAAGATTTCGTTATCAGCATTCATTGGCCAAGGATAGATTATCCAAAGACTGAACAACCTAAGAACCAGAAAATTCGCAAAACACAGATCAGTTCACGAAATTATCTTTCCCATTGTACATCGCGAGCTTCCAACAGATTATGGACTGCGTTAGAATGAAACGAGTGACTTGATTGTCGGAATACTAATTTTACCTTAGGTAGAGAATAAGTTTATCACAACGATAGCCAAGACACATCAATAAGGAAACAATTTTGGAGCGAAAGGTCCTTTCATCAGCTATGGGAATAAGAGAATCGATCTTCAATTAAAAAAATGACTTTCATTGAGTATTTGCGTCAATAGACAATAATTAAATGAATTTGAACTATTTAATCTGCTCAAGTGTTACTAATTTTCGCAGACACCAGATAACGTGAAAAGGTAATGGCTCTTTTCAAATCTTCACTTTTGCGGTTTGCCAGTAGGAGTTCCATGCTTGGAAAATATTCCCGACGGGGAGAGAGAAAGGGAATTACCCCTGGTCGCCGTTCTTACAAGGGGACGGAATTAGGGACGGACCACAAACCCAACATCTCCTAGGGAATAAAACCTCGTTTCGTCGTGGAGATCAGTCCATAGACGAAATGCGTTCATTTCTACCGTGGAACTTCATCTTTCAGAAAAGTATTGCTTTGTAATAGCTGGTGAACAAACAGCTAACATAAATTGGAGACCCAGCCGCGCAATAAGTTTTTGTTTTCATCTCAAGATCTCATTTCTCTCCCATAGCTACCTCCATGTGATCACGTGCTGAATGGATCTACTTTTCAGACGGCAAAAAATCTAAAACGTAGAAAAGTAATTCATTTGTGCTGTGATGATATGACGTTCTAAGTACCAATCCTTGAGTGTCAGACTTAAAAGTAGCCCTTCTTCCTTCTAGGGAGGCATACATCTTCAGTTGCGGGAGAAGTTCACCAATTTGGCAAGTGAGCCAAACAGCGAAAACGGCCGAGGAACGGGAACTAACACTGAGACTAGCACATGCCAAGAGATGCCATCCTGATTATCGGCCAGGAAGGGAAGTACCCTGGAGCGTAAGTGAGCCAGCAAAACGAGCCGTGACTTCCGCACGAACCGAACAACTAGCCCGTCCCAAGACTCGCCAAGACGGGCTCATAAGGGAGCCAACATGGCGCGTATCTTCAGCCAGCATGCGCACTGTAGCCTCAGCCCGTGTTCAGGAGCTTTCCAAGGCCAAGCAAACGGTTGAGGGATATTTGCCATGCAGAGAGACTGAATGGCATATCACAAGAAACACTCTCCGAGCAATAGCCTCTGATAGGATTCAAAATTTGTCCAAGCCAATTATACGCGAGACAATGGACCATCTTCAGTTTAACCCAGACGCATTCACCGTTAGGGAAACTGCGAAGAAAGCTACCGCGTCGTCAAGGGTAGTTGAATTAGCACAACCAATCGCTCGTGGACACAAATGATTGTGTTGAAATGAAACGAACCAATGAAACGAACCAAAAATTCGTTCAGACAGCGATTTACTTTCAATAAATTAAAGCTATTCATTCAACTGTATCAGAAACGGTTGAAATTATCCAGTTTAATGTACTCTTATTAAATTTTTTAACTATAATAACACCCTTTAAATATGATGAATTCGAAACTGATGGATTTGAAACAGTGATAGAATCAAGGGGCGGTGTTCAAAGAAGGTTAACCGCTTTAGGGCAAGAATACTCCAAACCCATCCGTTACGTTAATTTTTGTAAACAATTTCAAGGAGGCTTATGGTTGGCAATGTAAAATTTACCGCAGCATTAACTTCACTTATTCTTTTTCAAGAATCTCGAGGTCCATTGATTGTCTAAAACCGCGGCGTGCGTTAGACTTCGATTAAATAACCAGCCCATAGTTTTTCACTGTTTCAACTGAACGATATTTAAGGACTGTTATCAACAAAGTCATGAGGGATCGTTTTTGGTACAATGCATAACAGGAGGTTTTCTTTTGTCAAAAACGTTGCCCGTAAAACACAAAATAACGATGGTTTTGGCGGCATTCGACAAACATGTAAGCAGTGGAGCCCGAGGAGGTTTCCTTGTATTTTTTTAAATGTTTCATTATATCCCTTCTCTTGGAGCATCACCACTTGCTTCCAGTGGCTTTCGCGACTAACAGCTTCACCGTTATCAGCTCCGAAAGTCCGTATCTTGAGCGAGTAACAGGAATTTCCATGGAATCAAATTTTTGGTCACGTGACGCAAAATTATAATTTCCTTTATAACGGTAACCTCTTAAACTGAGAAACTAAGGAAGCAAACTCTGTCACAATACTTTGGTTGATATTATACCAGGCTCTTGACAAGTGAAGATACTCTGCTCGAAAACTTTGCAGTTGACTTAAAATTGACGACTTTCCAGACATTCTTTGAACAGAGTTCTTGCTGAGCCATCGTAATTTACGGTGTATGTTTTCAACCATTTTTTTTTAGGTATCCGCTGAAATTCTGTTTTGATCTTAGGAGTGCTTCACATTTTCTTTTTAGTTGGTTTGGTGTATGTTGATAATAATTCCTTTTGTCCCTCGCCATACTCTGCACAAAAAAAGAGAACAAGTTCCATTGACTATCTTGCATTGAAGGTGAATAAAGACATATTTCTGAAGTACTTTTACTTTATAAATGAGGAGCGAGTAAATATGCAATGCGTTGTGTCAGTCATCACATTGCAGTGACCAAGAAGTAAAAGTCTTCCCCTTCAGTAAATAATATAACCTGGCCATGAGTGTCTGGGAAGTGATCCTGAAATTCAGGAAATTATACCCCACAGGACGAGGCCTAATCCATGCTGGCCAGTGAGAAATTTGAAAAATCAGGTTGAGTAGAGTAGTGATTTGTGTTGATTTACTACCTGCCCTGCAGGACCAGTTTCAGAAGCAAAGCAAAATGTTGGTGGCCAAATTTCTAAACCAATGACTTTTTAATCTGAGTGATCTATCTTAGTGTGTGAGTTAGTAGGGGGGGCACCAACTCTGACAATTGCAAAAGGAAATCAGAGTGCACAATGTGCACAGCAGCCTATCATATTTAAAGTTATTTATATGTTTATAAAAAAAATACCATATGGTTAGAGAAGTGCATGTTCATGGAGAATTCCTCTTTAATATAACTTACTTTGTAGTTGTTGCCATGATCACCAATTAGTTGCCATAGAAACTGCACTTCACCTGGAGAAATATGCCTTTCACCTTTCCTTTCATTAGCAGCCATTTGCTCAAATTCTAAACAGGAAAAGAAACAACTAGGGAATTAGAAATGTTTCTTCAGGGTACCAAAATATTTATAGTGTATTGTGAGGTACATGTATATGATTTAGGAAACCTAAAGAAGAACAGAGAAGTTGAATTTTCAAAGTTCAAACTGTATAAAATTTCAATAATCATCACTTCCTTTAAGATAATCAATCTATAAAAAGATGTTATGAAAGAGATAATGGGTGCTTAGTCCTTCTTGACAAACTGCTCACAAAATGTAAAATCTGTATAAACTGGTAAGCTAAGAAGGAGATACTAAGAAAGGAACATGGGTATGCAGAAGTGTGAATGATGCAGCTGGTTGTACATGCCAAAAGTAACACCTTGTATGTACGTACAGGCAGACAAACATATGCAACTAAGCGATAACTAAATTTTCTTAGCTTGATATGTTACTCTGCTTTGTGCAAGCTGAGGACTCTGCTAGAAATTTTGCAATCCACATTGGACTTCTCCACAACAAGATAAAAACAATTGAAACTTTCAGATGTGAAATTTAAAATGGCCACAACTTTTCCATTTATTTAAAATTATCTCTTGCAACAAGAATTTTGCCCATTCTCACTTCTGCATGTTCCAAGTTTAGCCAGGGCACCCTGAAGAGTTCACTCAAAGTGGCTTTGAGAGCTATGATAACATCATGGTTTTAATGTGGAATTTTATCCTCTTCAACTAATTCAAGAATATTTTTTTCATACTATAAAATGTTCACGTAATATCTCAAACCTACCTCCAATTAAAAAAAAAATTGGAACATTAATCCCTTTCCTCTACGATAAGTCAAGCACAAGCACAGCTTTACCTTTAACAACTGTTGTTGGTTCCTTTCGGTCTACTTCCATGGCTTCTGCTTGTTCATCTTTACAACCCTAATCACATATATGCAAGTGGTCCATTTTAAGCTTACTATTTTCCTAGTAGAGTTACAGTAAAACCAGTCCTACCATTATGCAACTTTCATGATTTGGAGGAAAATTTAGCTACACAAATCTCAAGTAAATTTTTCCTTTACCTAACAAATGTAATTAGTTTGATGTATTTCATCAAATACATGTTGCAATGACCCCAACATGGCTTGAGGATTGTGAATAGTTTAGAAAGATTATCACATCTTCTTGAAAGACTGCAGGGCTGGTATATGAATGACCTATAGACCATGTGCTCAGTACCTAGGGTGATAAGTCTTGTATGTGTAGCATGCTCATGTTTTGTAAGAAGCATTAAGATGACATTGAAGATATAATTTTGTTGTTTTGTATGTTATAAGCAAACACTTTTCCAAAATGTCCAATTCTGATAAATCTTTGACAATAGACAAAAAGGCAATTTGAAAAGTCTCCCTACCTACACATAGACAAACAAATTACACTGATGACTATAAATACAACACATGTATCATTTAACAAATAATTATCATTCCAACTCAACATATACAGTGTATACAGATGTGACATGTTTTTAGAAACATAATTTTTGTTCATGTAGCACATTAAAAATAAGCTAAAAATGGTGTGCACTGACCTTGGTTTTAGACTTTGGGATAGGAACAGCAGAATTAGCATCAAAAGCCAAACCAAGAATCTGAAGATTCTGCTTTAGTGTTTTCTCTTGGTCCCAGCTCTTACGTAACGTTTGGCTTTGGGAGAAATAATTGAAAAATGTTACAGCTACACAAATGTACCAAACCTGTTTAAATGGCATAAATGAAATAATAGGAATTAAGAACCAACATTATTTCAGTAATGAAAAAATTCAAAGCAATAATGGATCAAGTTTAATGAAAGCTGTGCTTCCTCTATAAATGTCCACACTTTAACCCTTTAACTCCCAAGATCTGATTGTCAGTTCTCCCCTCTAGCTGCTACACATTCCCTTTTGAATTAGTTAGAAGAATTTAGTGTTAGATCAAGATAACAACTTCTACCTGATATGTTTGAGTATTCTCATTACCTGTTTGCTTGATAATGTATGGATAATATACATGTAGGGAGAAGTTTCTGGTTGATCAACACAAGGACTTAAAGGGTGAATAGGCACCCTTCCCCAAATAAGCACCCACCCACAGGCAATCATATTGTTGATTCTCAAGACTTTTGAGAACCAAAGATCTAATAGCCAGAAGGTAAACTTTTATATGTTTGAGCAGTACCGCATTTGCACAAATTTTGACAGTTCTCATACAAACAAAATTTCACCAAAGTGGCTTTTGATCATTCACAGCCTTTCCATCCTGACTTTCCTCATCAGTTCTGTGATCCAATATAGGCATAAGTTTTCAACCATCCTTAATGAATAAATATATGCCATACCCCATCCAAGAGCACTCCCATTGACAGCATGGGTATCTACAGGATTAATTCAAGTTGCATTCAACAACTCAATGAGCACCAGAAGTCATAAAAGTAAAAAAAGAAGAGAATTGCTCTAGGTCTAGAAATAAATTTTGATAAATTGCATGTAGTAAGACTGTTTTATCATATGAGTGCTGGGATTTACTCTAAACAAAGCCATAAAAAAAGTCATGTCAAAGGTAGAAACAATGTGATTGTGCATTAGTTATATGATTTTCTGTGGCTAATGCCTCCTATAGGAGGCAAAGCCACATATGTTATCAAAAAGAGTGATGGCAAGTGACAAAAGAATGTCAAATGCACCCAGTTTTGACCCAATGTCACTTGTTTCTTTCAGGGTATCTTGGTAGATCAACATTCGCACAAGAGATTATTGGGTGCAACATACATGTACACTAAAGATAGAAAAATTTCTTTGAAACACATTATTTTGTGCCTAAAAAAAACCCAAGATGCCATATTCTCAGTTATTGCCCTGACACTACAGAAGAAGATAAACATCTTACAATAAGTTCAGGATGGAACATGACTAAAAGAAAACCTTTCCTTGCAGAAATATCTTAATAGGTGTGATGGGCACATCTTCAAGGAAACATTTTTCTTCAAAGAAAGAACATTTTAACATTTAAATCAGAAAACTATGATATAATTTTTCCAATTCTTGCAGTGACACAAAGGCATCTCTGGTGAGTAATTAAAAAAAAACAGTTTTCCTTATAGAAATATAGAAATAGATGTGATCTGCACTTTGTGAAAACTTTGAGGAAAAAATAATTTTTGAAGAGCATTTTACCATTTTAATCTGTGACTAATGCCTAAGAGAGCTGCTTAATTTGTGACACAAGCAAGGTCTGAAATATGATACCTTGAGTTTAACAGGGTGACCCTATTTGAAGGAAGAAGCTGAGAGCCAAGCAAGTCCTACAATTTCAATAGGGAAGTCAAATCAGGAGTATTACTTCTGTGTAGTGGCTGACAAAGGCAAAGAAAGTTTTGATGACCACTTAGTTTCCCAAGTAAAGAACCAAAATAAAGCAGGGATTTATTTTACAGACAAGCCTTAAATTGTTCTATTTAACATAGACGAGATATTTAAAAATTTATCATAAACCGAAATATGAAAATTATACGGAAGAACTTAATCTAATTTCTAAAATACATTCCAAAAAGTAACATTGCAAACATTCCGATACCAAGACACAAGTTATGGTAAGACACACATTAAAGAAACTATTTCTTCGAAAGGATAAACGAGACCTGCTTAAAAACGAACTCTAACACAAACTATTAACTAGCCAAATGAGTAAATTGAGTAGCATTCAGACGTAACGTGAACAACGTTCACCACTTGTCACAAGGTTGCGAAAACGTGCAGTGAAAAAACTAGCATAAAACTGGGCGAAACTACCAAAGGCTAGATATTTAAACAAGCACAAAGAAAGGAACATAGGCACTTACACCTGTACATAACAGACCCGCTTGTAAGAGTTTAATCAAACTAACTTCAAGATAAGGTGGGCAAAATGCTCTTAAGCTGAAAACGACTTCTCGTTTTCCCACAACTGCTTTGGGTCTAAGTATCAGAAATCTCACTCGTTCGATTTCTGATATTACCAACTCATGCGTAAATACCATATGAGCAGACTTTTCATTAAGTATTCTGTAAATCTTTCATCTAGTGTTTCGAACGCTAACGAAGTGCGCAAGAAATCTTTAATTGCGATCCTTACATACACCTTTATGCAATACTATGAAGTAACTTACTTTAACACCTTCACTTTCTTTTCTTTCTTTTTCCTTTTAAGACCGGGCCTTGTCGTATTAGCACGCTTTTGCCTTTGCGATTTCTTTCCACGTACTCCTGCCATGCTTCCGTCGACGTAGTTTTGCAAGGCGTCTTAGTGAGTAGTACTGGACTCTAAGACCAGCCGCCATCTTGAAATATAGTAATCGCGAAACTCTGGGCACGAGTCAATGATTCCTTCTTTGATGGCGGCAACAGTCACATCGAACTAGCAATAAAAGGAACTCTCTGCATTACTTGAATTTATCATAGAGAACAGAACTATTTGGTCATAAGAGTAGAAAGGCAGCCGTCCGCTTCGAAGTTTCAAAGCTCAGAATTGTATCCTGAGGGGTGGACGATCAATTATCTTCGGTAGGTACATTGTTTGAAGGAATATGCACGTTACAAGTAGTCGCACTGTGAAAACTTGCACCTTTGAAAAATTGAGGATTAAATGGAAAACTCGAGCGATCGAAAATTGCACTGCACTAAGAAGCAGCAAAGATCCCTAGAACTGTAGGATTTAACATCTTACCCTTTCATGATTCATTTTCAGAAGCTCATAGCCACTTTGATTGATTTTTTTTTGCAGCAGTCAACCCTGCAGTAGAAACACGTTTTGATTATGTTGATCTTAAGATTTCCTCATCCTTAACAGAAAATCAAATTTGCTCATGTAAACTTTCGTGCAAGGTATATAATGCATACACTGTATTTTTCCCTTTGAGACAATAAATTTTAAGATCTCGGAAATCGTGTTATTTTCTGATTTTTTCTGAACAAGGAACAATTATATGGAGTTGTTTTCCTCGTGTTTTTAAATTTTCTGATCATCATATTTCCCATGTATAGAAAGATCTTTAAACGAAATTTCTGTCTCTGGTTATGATGGTACCTATGTATCACTCACCTCATTTTCAGTGAAGTCTTCACTTGGGTGAATAATTTTAATATTTTGTGAATTCTCTATTTTTTTTTAGTGCCTCTATAAGAACAGAACTGTGATCGCAAGGCAATGGATACAGGTATTGATCACAGAGACGAAGCTCAAATCCAAACTCAAAGGTTTGTGTTCTTGTAGTATTATTAACATTTATTATGTGGCTTTGATTTGTGGCTAATATAACATGTGCTCTGATTGGTTAAGAGCAAGATCAGGGCAGGGCATAATATAGAAGTCCTGCCTATGGGCTAATTAAAGATTATGCAAATTAGGAAGGGCACAAATGTTACATAAGTACCACAACTGCTCTCTTTTTTAAGATTAAGAGTCTAAGAGAGTAGATTTGATAACTGACTGCTTAATAACAGGGATTGAGGTTATTACAGGAAAATCTCAAACTGAGGTCTTGCCATTATAGTGGAATGTACACAGAAAAGACAGAAAAGAGTTTCAAAATAGTCTTAACACTTATGGCCTCTTTATAGAGGTCAGGTTTTAAATTGAATTTATAATAAAACAAGAGAAAATCTTTAGTTCATTCATTTAATCGTTTGTACAGTAACTTAGTAGCGAGGAATTTGATGAGATGAAAGGAGTTTCAGATCCAAGTAGCTTTTAAAACATTAATTTTCATTGCAGTACGAGACATAGCATAATTTTTTTTACTCCAAAACCCTATGTCAGTTGCCAATTAAGGTGACCCCAAACCAGTTAAAAGGTCTCTTAACCCTTTTCATCCTAACATCAGTATGCACATTCTCCATACTGTTCTCTATATGTTTCTTAATGTCTTGACAGGGAGAATTTATTCAATAGACAGGGGTTTCTTTAATTGTTGATTGGTTCATACTCTATTGTGACATTTATGTTTGATTCAGGATGGATATGAAAAGGAGAAATTAGCTGCTGCGTATTCTTAGAGATCAAAGGGTTAATGAAGAAGGTTTAACTGAAAGAAATATATTAAGCTTATGCTTTTGAACAAAAGAAACCTCCTTAAGAACACCAAACTTGTAAAAGAAATAATCAGTTTGTACCCTGGTATAAGTCTGTTATACATTTTCAGTGAATAACATTAATTTATCCAAATTTGTGGTATATCTTTCAGATTTTGTCACAGATAAGCTGCACTAATGTTTTGATGTGATCACTTTGGGAAAATAGTGTGGCTTATCTGTCAGTGTTCATGGTACTTTTTTGTGGCAATGCTGAATGATGATGTTGGGTGTTTTGTAAAGAAAGATAATTACATGTACAAACTCTCCTGGTCCATTAACCTTGTATGGTATGATTACAATGAAAATCATGATATTCTTGTATTCATGTCCCAAACAGATCAGGCCTGAAACAGAAATTTGGTCCTATACCAGCAGAAGTGACAAAAGCCAGAGAGGTACCTGTGGCATGGAGAATCTTTTCCTTTTCACTTGTAATGCTGTTCTTATCTCAAAAAATTTTCTTATTAAGTTTTGTGCAAAATTAATGCAAGCAAAGTCATAAAATCAATTTTGGTGGTCTGCCTTAAGTGTTTTGTCACAATAAAATCATTTTTGATTATCAAAAACTTGTCATGGTTTTGTCAATGCTATAGAAGAAAAGGAACAGCATTATCAAAAAAATCTCCAGAAAATTAATTATAATTATCTATCTAGTAAGATGGAGATTGAAGAAACAATAAACAATGTTCTAGTAGAACATTGTTTATTGTTCCTTAAATCTCCATCCTTGCCCCTGTCCTTCCCTGCCCCTCCTCTTCCTTGTCCCAAGCAGTTTTACACCACAAAAATTTTGTGCCGTGCCACTTTTAATTATTCATTTTTCTGCCAACTTGAAAAATTAGTGACAGCTCTGTTAAATAACTAATGTATTTTTTAACTGACATGGTCTCCAAAATGGTTCTCCCTCTCTCAAATTTTTAGATGTATTTCAGTAGTCACTTATATGAGAATAGTTTAGATTTATCTTGTTTTGAGAGGAATAGCGATACAGAATAGTCACCTTTCTGGTGAACTTGATCTTTTTTATGCTTTCTCACTGAAGCATACCTTTTCTTCTCTTTGGAAAGTTCACCCTGCACCTTCAGGAGAAACAAATCTAACCCAAATTTTAGTTCTTATCAATATTTACTGAATATTTGATCTGATATTTACTATTTGCTGAACAAAAAGTGCCTCAAGATTCTCAGAAATGTGTTGCAAATTTTGTTCAGTACCAGTTGTCCTCAAAAAGCGCGAAAGAGCCAAGAAACTTAGTTCTGCACAATACTAAGAAGACATATTTATGTTCTTATCTTAAATATTTACTTACAGGATGATGTAAACAGTATTTTGAAACGAAGAAGCCATATTCAGAAATGTATCCTTTTTGCATAAATTATAAGTTACATACTAATACTAACATTGTTATATACATGTACCTAGTTGGATTGATGCTGTGGTAGAACTGAGAAACTCATGGAAAATTTAATGGCTGAAAAGACTTTTCATTTTTCTTCTCATGACTGTTGTTTAATACATGTGGCAAGTTTCATTACTTAAAAAAAAGTGTAATTATTTATTCAGTTGATAGAAAGTTGGTCAAATATTTGCAACTTTTGATAGGTTGGATAGCACTACTTCTAGTTTTGAATTTTTGTTGACCTTTTAAAAGCAAGCATTATTTTGGACAGTTACTCACAACAAGCTTCACTGTTTCAGTTTCTGTTGTGTGTGTTAAGTTGATTGATTGAAACAATTGCAAGGGAATTCAAGTTTCCTTAACCCTCATGTTAGCACTTCATCTGTTGGATGAGGCTCTTTCTACCCCACAGCAACAATTACACACGGCTTCCTCACTGCTGAGATCAGTGAAAACCCCAACACCACTTCGCCAACTGCCCATGTCAGCATCAGGACTCAGACATAGTGCTTGTATGTATGTTAAATTAATGATAACTAGTTTAGTGGTGGTCTCAATCTCTAGTCAAATGGTGCACAGGCTAGGAAAGACATGAGCAATCTTGCATCACAAATTCATCAAACATTATAGATTTTTGAAACTGAAATAGGGTATTAGAAAATATAGAACTTAAAATTTATGCAAGCTGATTTTCTGAATTTGACTCTATTGTTGTTAAGAGTTGGGCACATAACTTGATCCTAATTTTGGGGTATGTTCAAAGCTGAGTTAAGATAACCCAGGGTTTCTGTGAAATCAGATTTCAGATCTGAAAGTCAGTATAAATTTATTTTCTCCGCAATTTGATAAAAGGATACTCTAAATAGAAAAAAGAAAATTATCTTAAAAAGGCTTTTGAACAAAGGAATAAAGAAACCTAGATTAAAATTTAACCCCGAGTTAGCACTAAGGAACAACTGTGTACTGATGTTTATCACTTCCACATTTCACATTATTTACAGCACTAAAACACTCTGCTTATGGGGAAGTTCCTAGAGTATCATTCAGTATTTTTCCAGTGTTTTCAATAAGATCTGAACTAGGTGGCAACCTCTCTAAAGCACCCACCTCAGAATAATATAAAAATCATTTCCCTCTTATTAGCCCACTAGTTCCATTCAGAACAAGCTCCCTTCAAAGGAAGGTGTTGGTGTTAAACTTTGGCACACAATCATAAAATATTAGTCTCCTTTGTTACAAATTGTTTTAAAAATCTTCTGTTTTTGGACATGTAGACCTGCTGCCTGAGTTTCACACAAGAGTTCTCTGAAATGACATGGTTACTGGTTACCAAATTTGACTCAGTATGTTCCATGAAACTCTAATTAATCTTTTTTTTTTTAAGCTGGAAATGTGGCATATGAGAAGACAATATCAATCATTGTTATCAAAACCTGTTTATAAAGGGTAAAAGTCAACCAAAGGAACTCGATAAAATCTTAAGGTGTTTTAGTTATCACTTCTTGAGTTTCCTTGGAAGCTTCCAGAAAGTCACAGAAAGATGCATAATGATGGTAACCATTCAAAAATCACGTAATACTAAGCGCTTTCAATAGGCAGTCTACAAAAACAATACAAGATAATGTCCTGTGTCTATCAAATTTTCATACGCTCATGTTCTCAAATGTTCTCAAATTTGATGCCATGATCCAAACTTTCTTCCCCTGGCTGTGCCAGATTCTGGTGTTTTCCATTCATTCATCACTTTTTGACTTACAGTTGCTTAAAGCATTTGCACTGCAAATGTTTACAGATTTTTCTTCTGTTTGCAATTGGAAACAAATCCCTCAGTCTCTCACCTCCAAAATGCTGAAAGGCTTTTTTTGTGATCCAAGTTTTTTCCTTTTTTATCAAGTGAAATTAAAGATATGTGGCAGTGAATTCCACAAGTTTTACTTATTGGTAAAAACTCAATCGATTATTCTTGTCTGCAGAAGTGTGCATTATTATTGATGCATTCCACTAATAATGTTTGCATAAGATAATTGAATTGGGTTAGTCAGCCAATGAATTCTAACTTTTCCCACAGTGCATGTTTCAAATCAGATTGTAAACAATCATCAAGCCACCAATTGCTCCACCAAAAGTCACTTGTTCATGTTCTGGCTAACTAGTAACCATAAGAACACAGTCTTCTTCACTTTTCACAGGAACTTCAGTTTTTTTTCTTTCTTTTTTTGTTTTCTTATCAAACAGTTAAATGCGTAAGTGTTCAATGCCTGTTTTTGTTTCTGTCTTTGTAGTCCTTGCATGCATGCAAACTTAACATTTTCAAAAAAGTTTTAAATTTGATTTTCTTGACTGTGTTATCAACAAGCATCTATTTTAACAATTTTGATTTTCAAGTTTGTTTTCTAACTAGCAGTTGAGAACAACTGCTGTTGTTTTATTTGTCCAAAATTAAGATGTTTTACTTTGGCACAAGGTTGTTTGAAAATTATTTAAGTAACAGACAATGTGTACTTTTATTTTGCACATGATGAATGTAACTAGAACATGCAAAACATGCAGAAACAGAGAACTTCTAGTGAAAGAAGAAATCTAACAATCAATGACCACAGAAATTGAAATGTAGATGAGGTGTACATGTAGCATAATATTGTAAGCATTGTATTGTATGCATTACTTTTGCACAGTACCCTTAGAGATTAGTGACAGAGTGAAAAGATAATTTAGTTCATGAGGAACCTGAAAGTGGTAAGGAAGATCACAGAAAGTCATAAAATAATAGCTTTGTGGCTAAGATACTTATAAAAGATTGTGTCATTTGTTGTATTGTGTGGACAGTGTCTATTAGTACCATTAATCAATATGAACTGCTTCTCAAATTACTCTATCACATTACTTTACAAGTATGGATGTTAATGAACACTATTTTGAAATTTAGACACACTCAGTGGTACTTCTTCAGTTGCAGATACAGATTACACCACTCAGGTACACTGACTAGTTCTTATGCATGCAGATTGCTTTTTTGATCTAAGGTGGAGAATTTCATTCTAGACATGCAAAGCTGTAGAAAGCGAGCAAAAGATCATGTTATTGAGACTGATCCTGTACCTTCATTTCACAGATAAATTAAATTGAAGGAAGATTTATTTATTTAAAATGCATTTGCTTAAACTTAGTCACTTTCAAGTGAACTGTTTGAAAAAAAATTAAAAATATAAGGGTGTGACTAACAGTTGATAATACCAGCATCAATTGTTGGTGTTGATATCCTTTTACAAAGATCAGCAAGCATTTAAGGGGAAAATTGATGACAGAAAATTTGATAGAATGCAAATGGAAAGCAAGGCTTTCTCATAAAACTGCTGGGTGCTCAATTAGTACATGCATTTTAATTGTGAATTTCCATTGGCACGTATATACTCTGCCTGGAAGAATAAGATACAAAATTGATTTAATGAGACTGTACAGCTTTAACTGCTTTTAACTCAATTCTTGCATATCAGTGTATAAAGGAACTGTATGTGTACACACACTGTCAATATTAACTTCTTACTAACCAAGTGTGAGGTCAGTATTGGGGCAAAAAATAACCTAGGGCCAGTATTCCCTGGTGCAATTCAAGCAAGCTAGTTTAGTAAGTAGCTTATAATAAGACACTTGGACCACACTTGTTCATTCTGAATGTACCAGCTTTTACAACTAAAAATACATAGCATATGACCATTTCTATGGAAGCAGCCTCACTTGGCAAAATGCAGATCACCATGTTACTTCCTTGGTTCCGGTGTAGGAAATGTCTTACATGAGTGAGGGCCTGCATCCTGGACTGCTGTCTTCTCTCCCTCAGCATATGTCTGGCGGCACCACTCTGGTAAGTGATTAGAATCTGAACTTTTTATGCCAACCTATAACCATTGAATCATGATGATCTTGTTTTTCTTTCACTATAGGGTTCATTGTCCTTCATGGAAGATAGTGGGTTAAGCCGCCCTCTTACTCCCAGTAAACCCCTTGCCCAAGTTGTTGAGGTATGGAAGTATATTGTACATCATGCAGAATTTTTGTCCTATATTTTCATAGAAAAGTTATTTGTTTTATTGAATGAGTCCAGATTCTGATCTTCTATTTATTGTTTATAAACATGTGTGTAATCTGAAACAAAAGAAAGGACAAGTGATTAATTATTAATTATAAAAAAATACTTGTTCTTGTAAAATGGCATGGGAGTTCCTGAAGCTTGCTGGTAATGCCTCTGTTATTCATTCTGAGTCTTTTTTGATTTGTAAAGGATTTTTCACCTGGAAGTGCTGTGGAATTGTCGCAGTTAACTGAGAATGTCAGTATTTTGACTGAGAAGGATCCTGTGATTGCAGGTCAGTATGGTAGAGTAATGTTTACCTGTGCACTACATTTTATCTGGTTCAGTCACTTTCATTAGTTGGACCATTTTCTCTCATTTGACCATTGGACAATTGGACAATTTTATGAGGTTAATCTGGACCATTTCTACCACTGGTTGCATCTTTCTAGTTTGACCATTTCAAATGTTTGGAGCCATTTATTCAGTCAGCCTTTTTCTACTGTTTTTTAACCAGTTGGACCATTTTATTTTGTGTGACTATTTTAATCAGTTCAACCTTTTTATCAAGTTAGATTATTTTAAGTAGTTGGACCATTTTATCTATCTAGACCATTCTAACCAATTGGACCATTTCAACCATTTGGATGTTTTTACCCAGTTAGACTGTTTTAAGGGGTTAGGCCATTTTTAGCTCATTCATGCTGAAAGCAATGAATGAGGTATGGTGGTGGAGAAGATGTTGATGGAAGTTGTCACCCGTGGATGGAAGTTGCATTGTGAACCGTGAATGGAAGTAGTCTCTCATGCTACCCCTCCCCACTTAGTGAAAGTCAAAATTAATTTTGATGAAGCTCAGAAACTCGCGTGGAAAGAAATAAAATGTTTATATGGTTTAATAATAACCTCAAATCACATTTCTGAACTTCTGAAAATGCAATTTGAATTGAGAAGCCAAAATGCTCACACCTTGGGGACCCTTAGCAGGTTCATTTCAACACTCACTGTGACCATGCAAAAGAGCATCAGAGGTAGCCATATTGGTAAGCTGCGCATTTGTGTTTGTCTTCAGTTGGTATATAGCAATCATTGCTCTATCATTGTACTTTTTCTTGTAAGCTCTTCAACATATGGTCCACATACAATCATAGCGGCCAAGACATTAACTCATTTCTTAAGGATCTGGTCATTTCAAAAGGATCTGGTCACCATATGCAAGTAACCTAAAATATAGGGCCCCTGTGGTCTGACCTGTGGTAAGGAACCACCTCCAGTGAGCAACCACCCACAATTGGCAAAAAATTATTACTACTTCCTCCCTTTGCTCTTGTTAAGTTAATGTATTTGCCCCCTTCTCCCAGAAAAATTATCTTGTATCATGATTCCATGAACCTTAAGTTACCTGTAAGCAACATTGAGTGGGGAGGGCCTTGTCAATGATTTAGAGTGTGGTGGAGACAGGAGTGTTATTCTACAGATAAATTGTGTGTGCCAATTTTTAATCTCATAAAAAGGACTTTGACTTCGTGAAACTATCACTTTATTACACATTTTTGCATGGAGGGCAACATTCAGTACACCAATATTTTACTATTTAGGTTAAAAGTAGAATTTGAAAGTAGGAATGTCCAAAGTAATGACAATAATTGAACTGAATGACAGTATCAAGGGCCTTAAAGATGTGTGGTGGTGAATGTGTTGTCTATGTGAAACAAGAGATATTACAATTGTCGCCAGACCGCAGTCCAAGGTGAAATGGAGAGTTTTGTAGATTGTTTTTAACACACTCAAACCTGCAAGAAGGATTAATTTGCTGTATGCATGTAATCCACTAATTTGGTGGACATAAGGAGTTCCAGACTGACCTTAAGTAATTGTTGTTGCCCCCAGTAATCTGGTTTGTCACTTGGCATTGTTCAGAAATTTTGTCAAGGAAGAGCAAAAAGTTTCAAAAGAAAGAAGTAAGAAATTAAAAAAACACTCACACGAAATACATGCTGTAGCTCTGTGGTTGTATCTGATCTGTTGCATGGTATATCTCATTTTCAGCCAGTTCAAGCTTGTTTGGAGAATTCATGAGTGCCTTTACATCATTTCCAGATACAAAGCATATTTTTGACATGATAGCTGGATATGAAAAGGTAATTCCTGTGCATTGGAAAGTATCCATAAATGATATATAATTTATTGTTAACAAGATAATTTGGATTTATCAACTGAGTTAATGATGTAAATTGCCCATCATAAAGAGTTTCTAAACTGATGTTTCAAGTGTTAGCCCCGCATGATGGCAAATGGTCTGGGGTAATGGTTCAATCATTAGCTCAGAAACTCTTCTTGGTGGCTAATTTAAATTATCAGCTTAGTTGATAAAACCAAATCATCTTGTTATATACACCACC